TTTACGGTTTAGGGCCAGAGGTCTAGCATGTAGAAACATATTAGGGCGGGGGGGGGGGGGGTGGTGGGTTCATTAGGTTTCGGCATGTGCTTTTCAAACTCGGATCCCGCATCCTTGAGCGTCCTCAGGCCTACCAACTCCTCCAGCAAAGTAGAACGCGTCAGCCCCGAGCCCTGATGAGATGCGCAGGCAAGTGGTGGAAGCAGCCGAGGTGGGAGCTAGCCGAACTGCTTTGAATGGTCCCTGCTAAGGGAGGTCTCACAAGTCAGAGGCTATCAGCTTAAGAAGGTAGATATGGATCAAGCAGCGATCGCCTTCTAAGCCCTTAGACTGTGACACTATAGCATTCTGAACTTGCACTCCCTGGACTAAACTCCTAACCCCTACACCCCAAAACCCCTAAACCCTTAAACCCTAAACCCCTAAACCCTAGACCCTAAACCCAGCCTTGTGCGAGTGTTTGAGTCGAAACCCTAAACCCTAGACTCCCTAGACCTTAAACCCTAAACCCTGCACCCTTGAGGCAGAGCTGGGCCGGGCCGCGGCCCTCGGAGGTGACGAGGCAGTTGCTGCCACGGCCGCACTGCAAAGCGCCGCGAAGGCAAGGCGTGCCCAAAAACTTAGAACCTCCGTAATACAATACTAAGACGGTTTAGGGTTTAGGATTACGAATTACTACTGGTATTGCAAGTACCATTACCATTACTTTTTTTTTCCTTTTGCCAGAAGCCGGTTTCAGAAGATGCATCCCAAGATATTGCCCTTCTTTCTGAGCTTCGCATCTGACCTCCGGGCGACTGCACATGTGGTAATTGTAGCATGTACAGTAGTATAGCATAGTGGCATAGTGGGATCGTACAGAAGCAAAGTGAACAAAAAAGCAGTGAGAGGCGTGCGCATGGTCGCAGATCGAAGAGCTTGCTGCGACCCAGATGTTGCGGCTCACTATGGAGTTGGCATTGCAGAGGTCCCAGGTGCGGAGCGTTGACTTGTACTCTGCCAATTAGACGTTGGTTTCCCATGGTATATTTGGTCTCTTGTTTATCTCCAGCAGGAGCAAGTTCCAGCAAAGGTTGAGTTCATGGCCCAAGCAACATCCCGATCTTGCTTTAAAGGTTCCGAAGACCATTTGTGTTATAGCAGCTGACGGAAGTGGATCTATTTTGAAGGAATGTTGCCAAGACAGGTGTCCGACGATCTGGCCACAATGCGAGCCGTAGAGCTACGCGCGCGGAAGGAGCTCCTTCTGATGGGTTTGGGCAGGGTGTTGGTTTTGCAGGCAGGGCAGAAGGGTTCTGAAATCTCTGCGGGACAACTGTACCCCTGGCATCGAGGTTTGTCTAACCACCGGCTCGAGACCAAGCATCCATCAAAAACGGTAGTAACAGATTGCGAAATCTTGGCGTTGAAGGCAGTGCTGGCTACCTCAACATCCCTCAACCCCTGAACCCTAAACTCTGAACCCTAAACTCAACCAGTACACCGGAAACCCCCAAACTTTCGAACCTTCAACCCGACCCTGACAGGAGCAGATGATCGAACTGGCGGAGCGTGCTGCCAGGCTTGTGCTATGGGTCTGGCCTGCAGAATCTTGCATGTCAGCCTCAACCGCGGAACTGGTACTAGAATAGAATTTTCACCCCAGGTTCTTTTAAACGCTTTTATCATGCGTTCAGGGTACTCTAGATCCAACCGGGGTTGAAAAGCTTAGATGTTCCCATGAGGCCTCCACACCAGAAGCCCAGAGGGGGTTTTGGGCCTGGTATTTTGGGTCGAGGACTAGGATTCAGGAATCGGGACCTAAAGCCGAAATCCCAGCTGATCGGCCGAGGCGGAGTTCAAAAAAGCCGAAATCACGGCCAGAATTCATAATATAGGGGCCCAATAATAACCACCTATACTTTTTTGGGGGGTTTCCTTATAATAAGTATAGTATAATATATCGAAAAACCCAATTCCAACAATTAAGGCCCACACAGTAGCAGTAGGGCAGTAGGGGCAGATCGGGACACTTGCAGCGAGCTGGAACCGAATTGGCGAGTTCGTTTGAAGTGACCTGATGTGGTTGAATGTGCATGCTGCTGTGTGTCACAATGCATCATGTGGACTTGAGATGGTGATATAAAGGCTCCGCTTGTCTGACTCCCTTCTTGCCTGTGTCACCTGCCTACGTGCAGCACTTGTACTTTATCGCGCATACTTCTCTCGCAGAGATCGTTTAACTTCACGGCAAGACGTGCAAGTTTTGAAGTTTCGCCTTTTCACGTGCTCTGTCTCTCTCTCTCTCTATATATATATATACTTACACATATACATACATACATATATATTGAGCAGCTAGCATGTTTCTAATGCATTTTGCATTTCATACATTCCAGATTAGTTATGTAATGGAACAGGATTGTCAACGAGACGGCCCACCGGATGGGAGCCCGGATGGGTCTTCCAGCAGAGTGGGACGTGGTGGAGAGAATGGCGGGGACCGAGGGCGCGCTGCTGAAGAAGGCGCTGATAGGGTTTAGGGGTCATTATAATGTTACTCCCACACAGGCACCGGGCAAGCTGTTGAGCCGCCGACCAAGCTTCCCGCTGTAGCCTAAAAATGGGGCGTTTAGACTTTTGAAGCCGAATGCTCGTGAATCACGTGGACAGGCTTCCAGACTACCACCCTTCGATAGCACGAGATACCCCTGAACCAATGAAGGATGAAGAAACTGCCGCAGAGCTGCTGAAAAGAGTACAAGACCTCGAAGCTTGGCTTAAACTGCTTCTGCGGAGGCTGGCACTGTGCAGCGCTGGAACCCAGCCCCACGCTGTTTCGGTCTAAAGTGGTGTTCACATTAGCCTTCCAGCTGCGCGCCCTGATCGTTATTCAACGACAGAACTTGACCCGAGCTCCCGAATGATCTCAGGTGAATGCTACCTTCTGGGGCTGGGGTGGGCATGGTGCACGCACTCGCACCCGGGATCGCGGAACCGAGCCGGTGGCCAAGGGCTTGCAGGCTACCGGGCACCAAGAGAAAGAATTGAGAGTTATGTTAGATTTAGGGCTCAAGTCACCGGGAATCCCTCAACCTTTAATGTTTCAGGTTTTGGGTGCAGGGTTTGGCCTTACGATGCAGTCTAAAGGTCAGGCCTGTGTAGCATCGGTTCACTCCCTGCGGCAATATTCACAAGCGGTGCCAGCACCTGCTGCTGTTTGATGGGCCGGACCAGAACCAATCATGATGAAGCTCCTGCATGAATCATGCCGTGGCTCCCTGTGCAGTACTGTCTGCTGTAAGTTCCGTATGCAGGAGAAGAGCTTTTAATGTCCATATCCATGTCAATCAGCCGCACTTTGAAGGCATAGCGCATCCTGTGAGATGGAATGGAGTATCCTATGAGATTTGTGTTGGACAGTTGCTGGTGTTGTCAAGCTTGCTGCACCTCTATTATTGATCTGTCGCGGGAGGTAATGTCCGTCATCTACGTGCAGAACGCCGAGGCTTGCGGCACAGAACCGAATCAGGAGAAACACTATGCAGCTGCTGTCGCTGCGTGTTCGACGTCTGTCTATAGAACTGTTCCAGGACGTGGGATAAGAAAGAGAGTCTGCTTGACCGCTGTGCATTCTTTGTCTCTTGTTGAGCCACCCTGGAAAGGGACGGACTCGGCTGAAACAAACCCTTCAGACTAGAATGGCTAGAACGTGCAATCCAAACCCGGGCGGGTCAAATGTCATAACAGCCGTGCGCTCATCACTCCCTACACGTACGGGTTTCAGCACTGCGAGGGCGACTGTCGTAGGCCAGCTGTTGCTAGCATTCGACGGCTAGCACGACCATCACCATCACTGCGTCGTGGCAGTCTCCGGTTAAGCCTTACTGGCAGTGTTGGGGACTCAGGTGTTTGTGAACTACCGGGCCCGGCGTGCAGAGATCGCGGGGGTCATGAAGCCGGACATGCCGACGCTGGGCAAGAGACGGCAAGTGACCTCGTTTAGCTCTCGCTGTCACTCTGGTCCTTCTTTGTGAATCAGCATTTCCGCCCAAAAAACCGTAATAGTAACTAGTAATCAACAAAAGCCCGAAGACAGCTAACACACTTGGCTGCCGAACTTCCCGTGCACCTCCTGTAGGCGAAGTAGATTTGTGGAGAATTCTGATAACATCCAGCTGGAATGCAGCATGGCACGATTTGGACTGCACACCCCCGACGGACCATGACTTAGCACGAGGCTTCCAGTCTGGTTACTTTGCAGATTCGACAATGTACAATGTACAATATATATATATATATATATGGTTGTATACATATTGATTTATTATGTACCATATACAATATATGGCTATGCAACCTCTGCAGGATTGGAGATGTGTGGGATGTGAAGACTGCATCTGTTCCGCTAGCGGGCGTTGGCCGCATGAAGGACTTTTGTGGGACTCGGAGTCTAAAGCGAAATCTGTGACTTTCCGAAAATAGGGGGGTACCTTATGTGGGGCCCTTATAGTACGGACCCTACTATTTGGGGTACTATACTTAGGGTTCCCTATTTTCGGAAACCCCCCCAAATCTAGCTGGTGCGGAGGTCATAAGGGGGGCGAAAGCGGCTTTGCGGGCCTGGGGGGGTCAGTGGAGAAGTCCTGCTTCGAGGTTGAAGCACTTATAGTCTCGGCATGGTCTGGTTGGACCTGCGAATCGAGGCCGGTTGCAAGACTCGTCGTAGTTTCAAGGTTTATTTCGGCATTACGGGGTGTTTGGTTTGGAAGTTTGTTGTTTTACTCCTGGCTGCCGCGTGTTCGGTTGGTTCATCGATTTGCCGATGCCGCAGCTCCATGTCGCCGAAGCACGGATCTGGACAGGAGAATCCGGTTGATCCCAAAATCAACGAGCACTATCTCTGGCACGGCTGCAAACCGGAAGCTTGTCTTTGCAAGTCCAGCTGTAGCCTTGGCGACGAAGTTTTTTTGGAATTTGCAAGCTAGTCTCTGTCCGTCCAAAGGACATGAATGAAGACATGTCAACTTCACAGTTACTGATCAAAGATCAACTGTCGCCTGTGATTGTTCGTGTTCAACATTCCAGAGAGCCGCTGTTCTAGTGCCAAGGAAGGGGCAGAAGGCAGCTCGGCTTGCGACAGCATCGACAGCTGCCACACGATCTTTTCTTGCCTTGGGTCTGGTGCACAATCATACAAGAGAGTTGGAGCTTCCAGAGCCATTCTGAAAGTTCTGGGGCCCTTGACGTTAGCCGAGGCATCACCGATGCCAACTTCGATTTAACCCGTGCCCGAGCTGTTCATCGGAGGTTTGAGGATGGGAAGTTTCCACTTCTGAGTAGAATATGAATTATGAAATACGCCTCAAGGCTGTATACAGTTCTATAGTATTCTATAACAGTACTTCTAAACTTCACAGAGATGTCCTGCGGGTGTCGTTCAGGTCAGGCGAGCCGTTCTGTGCAGATGACGTAACGAGGAAGGCTCTAAACCGAAAGCACCGGAAGGCTTAGCTTTCATGCGAGGACTCTTTCTGACAGGTTCAAGCCCCTCAACCCGGAAACCCTAAACCCCCCTAAACCCAGGTGGGAGGCAACAAGAACCCTAAACCTCGAAGCTCAGACCTCGAATGCCATGCCAGGTGAGTCGAAGCCCTATAGGCCTCGGCAGAGTCGATATAGCATGAACCCCGAAGTCTCTGAAGACCCATGTGAAGGCTAAAGCTGCCATCAGGTCTGGCTTAGGGTTCAGCAGTGTGGGTTGTTTAGGGGTTGGGAGCATGAAGGACCTCCCTTCAGCCCCAGATTTGGGAGTAATCCCTGTACCTACAGCCGGGTTTGGCCGGGCATCCGAGCTTAAGCAGTATCTAGCGTGGCGAATTTCCTTTCCGCGACCAGTGCAGTTTTAGAGGCCAATGTATGGATCGCGCTCATCAGGAGAAGCATGGCCCAACTTGTGATAAGAAGCATTTCAGCGCGCGGCGGCGGGCCGACCATGTCCAGTCCATGTGCTGCCTGCGAATGACTTAATGACCACGGCCATCCAAAGATGTACGCTGCTGCTACCCTTCGTGGTATTCTTGCTTGGAGAAGTACTCCTCCGTTTGCCTTTCGGGTCGACTTGGGCACTAAACTTGCACTGATTGTTAGCTCCCCTAAAGAACTCGTCTTTGTCCGGTGCCCTAATAGCCCTAAACCCTAAACCCTAGGGAAAAAACCCTAAACCCGAGCAAGTACCCGACAGCGGCAGGTGCAGGGACTGCTTTCGGATCGCTCTTCGGGCCCGGGATCTATCTGGCTGAAAGCTGCCGCTCGGAGTGGGCAGATATCTCATCACATGGGAGTTTCCGCAAATTAGGGGGGTACCTTATTTTGGGGCCCTTATAACAAGGATCCTACTATTTCGGGTGCTATGTTAGGGTCCCCTATTTTCGGAAACCCATGGTTGCTGTTGCTTTTGCTGCTATGACGACGACAAGATATATCACCCGTGTTTATTCCCGCAGTACTTTATGTTTATTGGGGACCTTTCTAATCCGTGAAGTGAGTACCAGAAGAAGCCGAGTTTCCAAGCGTTTACTGAAAGTTTACTGAGGCTCTTATCGTTGATTGAGGGTGCGACATGGTCTTGGAGGAAAAGGGCTGTAAATTGAAAGCTTCGTGGCTTTCCTACCTGGTTTTCTGAGCCTTACCACTCATGTTCGCGTCTCGTTTTGGGACTTCGTGCCTTGGGAGAAGCCAGTGTTCTGTATTGTCGGTGGCGAAAGCCTGGGCGGGTTGCGAAATGCTGCTGTAAAACCTGGTTCCAGGTTTCGAACTAAGGAGTAGACTGTCGCTGTGAGCTTTGGCTTTTGACGAGCTTGGGTCTATACGTGATGTTTCGTGTGCTGTACTGGAAAACCATTTCTTCTGACCAGATTACACTTGAGCGGCGTAGCATGCCATCCTTCGTTGTGCGCCATCTGCTACTGCATAATATGTCGCGCTACATGCATGCTGTCAGTACATTACAATTGAAACCAAGGAACAAACAAACAAATACACACACACACTTAATAATGTACACACACACAGAGGCCTTCATAAGACATGTGCACGTACATACAGACATCAATATAGTCCTTCGGTCCTTCCTTCATTATTCCATCCATCCATCCCTCCATCCACCCATCCATCCCACTCATTCATTCATTCACTCATTCATTCATTCATTCATTCATGCATTCATGCATTCATGCAAGCATGTATGCATTCAATCATGCATTCATTCATGTGCATTCGTTTTCAATGATTCATGCGTTCTTCGATACATTGATATATCCATCCGACTTGCCATCTCGAGGTGTGTGCACTGACCCAAAGCAACTCCCTTTCCAGCACCCCAGAAGTCTCGAATCAGCAAATCCCATGATGCGCCCCCGATCTTCTGAGTCTAGCTCTTGCTCGCACCGACCCCATCGAGTCGAGCACAAAAGATGATAAGTTCATTGCCTCTGGGAACCCCTAAACCCTAAACCCGAAAACTGTCTAATCGAGGCATGAAGGCGGACGAGTACACGCAAGCCGATCACCGGGGATACTTCCCGCTCTTGCTCTGCAGGGCCGTGCCTTGGCTTTGTAAGAAAAAGGAGAGAAGCTTTATACCTATATCATGCTAATGTTATCTTCTGTATGGGCCCGAGTCATTGTGCCGACCTGATGCACCGGATGTATCTACGAGCATCTTCCGCCCAAAGTCTCCAGACGCAGCCCGAACTCAGCCACGCAGTGAGCTCCGCGAAGCTGGGCCTTGGTCTCACAGGCAATGCGTCGAGGCCCAGGATCCTATGTTCGACTGTTCGACTGCAGGTGCTTGGGAATGTTCTCTATTGTGACCATCCCTCGCCGGTTGAAATCAGCGCCAGTCTTGTGGCCGCTTGCGGTGAGCGAGGAGGCGGCGATACCTCATGTGACGTGTGAGTGTGTGATTCTGGCAGAGCCTAGATTCAGTGCCAGCCTCAAGAGGGCTCGAAAGCAGACAGGCCACCACAGCATCCTCGGAGATCGGGAGAAGGTCAACGGAACATTTCGCGAGTTCATTGTGCCCGGACCTGATTCAGGTGTTTATACACAGGTTTCTTTCATGATCAAGTAAGATCTCCGACAGACAAAGCATGCTCTGCAGCAACTTCCTGCGTTCTCTGCGTGCCGGTTTGGTTGCTATAGGTAATCGGGACTCGCTATCATTAGCTTGGGATGTTCTTCCTGCGTGTCCGTGCATGTGGCAAACTTGAGAGTCCACCGACACAGTTGGGGTTTCCGAAATCCCCAAATAGGAGGATATTTTATTATAAGGACCCCCAGATAAGGTAACCCTACTTTCGGAAACTCTCCGTTCACCATTGTACCATCTCGGGACCGCCGGACGGCACGAACACCGAATCTTCATATGTCAAATGTCTTGTCTAGCCTTGTTGGCAGTTGGCGGCATCAGACAGGGTTGCAGGCTCTCAGGTAGGTGCAGAAGACACGTTGATCGTGAGACAGCTTCTGGCAAGAAGTAGGTAGTGTTTCAACCTCGCTCAAAAGACTGGCCTGACAGCCAGGTATTCGACAATCACCAGGTGTATCCGGAGTACATCGTGTGGTATCGTCGTGTGTATTAGCTTGAGCTCGTGATTTTCCCATGGGAGCTGCGACTTCCAACCGACTCGAATCCTTGGCCCGAGATTATCACAAGCACTTCCCCAAACCCCAGACTCGGATACCACAGTGGGCACCTTTACCTCCTCTTGTAGACTCTTCTTGTGGAGGTCGCAATAGTGCAGTAGTTCGAGGGCAGCTTTGTGCATGGAGTCAGGAGCTGTAGAGAGTCTTGACCGTGCATGCCGGCCCTTTCTTGGCTGCCTCTCTCACTCTTGGGACGTCTTGGGATGCCCTTTATACGACCTTCGGTTGAACCTAGACCATCAGAGAGTAGGTCTTTCAATCAGTTGTCAGACGTGCACGAACTTCGTCTCCATGGTACGGTTTCTGGGTGAAGGCTCATACTAGAAGAGGCAGTGGTGGCGTCGCATTGGCAACATTATTCGTAGTTTCCCTGATGGGATTTAGTTGTGCACCACGGGTCATTTGAGATCACCGGCTCATCACAGTCTGGTTTCGGCCAGCACCGCTCTTCTTGAGTTTCAGTGCGCAAGTCTTGGTGATCTCGAAGCTTGACTGTTTATCAGAGCATTTGGTACGTCTGAGGAGGGCAGACTGAAAATACTTCTTCGTCTTATACAATTATACAGGTGTGCATCCCTACTGAAGTGATTATTGTCGGATAAGTGAAGCATGTACTTCTGCTCTCGCTACATCTGATTGCTCCGGCACCATCGGAACAAGATGTGCGTTCTTATGGATCTTCAACGGAAGGGTTGTCTCGCAACGGATGGCTGCCGGATTTTCGCCAATCTTGTCGAACTCGCAAAAGCGAAGTCACGATCTTGGATTGCGACATTCTCTAGGGGCCCGGTTTATCTACTTTACTGGTATTCCCTTGTGGTCCGTATATGTAATACTAGGACTCGACCTACTCCCCAGGCCCCTATTGCTCGCAGCTGCTCCCCAGGGGGTCTCCGATTGCACAAGGCACGGAGTCAGACGGCTAAAAGAAAGTGAAGCATGCTACGCACCCTTTTTTTGAGATAGCGGACAGAAGGCATGATTTTCGGCCTCTTTCCCTTCCCGATTCGCAGACTGTCCCAACCACGGTCTTATGCTCCTCTTGGCTTTGCGGAAGCTTTGGGTCAGCCGACTTCTTCCCTCCCTCTCGCTGCTTGGCGGCAGTGGTCTAGGCTTGGAGTTAACTAAACCCCTAAAACCCTTAAACCCTATAAACCCCTAAACCCCTAAACAGTTAAACCCTGAGCCTTTTAGTCAAGAAGCCCCCAAGGCTTGTAACTTGTAAGGCTTCAGACTCCTTCCTATCCCAGGTACATAACATTTGCATTACTAGTGGTGTTGCGAGTAGTCTCATGGTTAATAGTGTCATTGTTCTCTGAGCAACTAGCAATAGCAGAGCCTCATTATTATCATCATCAGCTACTATTAAGATGATGATTATTATAAACTATCCAAATGATTATTGAACCGCCACAAGTGGCCCCCAGCTGCAGAAGTCAAAGCCCAAACTCTCTTTGAAGCGTGTGCTCGGGGGAACGGGGGAACCACAAGGTGGCATGGGAGTGATGCATCAGTACCTCGAACTTGTAGCTAAATCCCTGGTTTGTTCTATGTGGAATAAGGTCGTTTAGTGTTGGTGTTTTGTGTGTGTGAGAGAGAGTGGTTGAGATTCTGATCGCCTCGATGGTGGAAGTCATCGGCGCAGTTGTCGTGAAGCCCTGTTTGACTGTCTGAGTCGAAATCCCAACCTCAAACCATCACGAATACGCCTGCATGGAGTTTCCGTCTGCGAGCACGGAAATCCCAAAACTTAAAACTTCAGAACCACTAAGGCAGCCATGGCTGGCGATCCCTACCCTACACCACCGCCCGCCGCACGCTTCGTGGGTATTGACCTGGGAGTCAGCTGCGCTGGGAGCTTAGAAGTGGGGCTGGCAGGTTTTGCAGCTTGTGAAGAATTGTGAATGTCGGCGCGCAGCGGGGCGGGATCTCACTCTGGACAGCCAGACTGCGAAGCAAGGTCAGAAGGCTCCGTGATATACAGCACAGATTCAGACCTTCGGCCGTGCCTCCTTTGTTCTCTCTCGTCTCACCGCCATACGGTAAGTGTCAACACCAACCACCATCCCAATTGAACTACCAGTAGGCAGTAAACCCTAAACTCTAATCCCTTAGGCAGTATGCCGAAGTGATACTGCTGGCAACACTCCGAAGCCGACCTCGAGTCTCTGAAATCTCCCTATCTTGTACAAGTTCTGAAGCTGAGGTTGTGGCATCCTCGAGCGTGGAGGACATGCCCCAAAATATGCCCAATTATTTTCATCCTCCCAGTTGATGGTGAGGGTTGAGAAGAGCGGTTTCAGATGGTTTCAGCCCGTCTTCCATGCCACCAGGAGCGCAACGCCATTACCATATGCACGAATGATGTATCTGGACGATCGACACCTGCTGCGGTGTCTTACGACGGCAAGCTTCGACATGTGGGTGTGGCTTGGCGCTTGCTAGACATGTTAGAAGGGGAGGCTTCTGAAGTACAGCGTCAGCGGTGCGATCTTTGGATACACTGAATGTCCGTCGCAACACCAGTGCAATCACCGCGACCTCAACTACCAGCATCATGTTGCGATCCCCGACGGGTATCATTACCTAAACAATGGCCGTATTATATTCGGGATCATCATCATGCGGACGAGAAGTTTCAAGGAGTCCCGTAGCCTGGCCAAGGTAAATGCCGAAGGCCGTCTGATGAGCGCTCCGAAACAGACGCTTTCACACCTACCGCTGGCGCTGGTGCACCACTCATGTCTTTGCGAGAGATGTTCTGGAGGTATAGGAAGCATTACGCAGCATGAGATGCTGGTGACTGCTAGTGGCATTCCAACCAATTTGAGCAAAACCGCTTCTAAAGAGGATGTCACAAGTAGTTGCCAAGTCTCAGCGCGATGCAGCAGGCAAGACAGGGTCCAATGGTGCTTCAGGGTTGAAAAGAGCAAACACAGTGGTAATACGAAGAAGCATAGTCATAGTGACAAAACTCAACAGAACAATAGCAACAATGACAACAAAAAGTCAGAAGAATCTGTATCGAAAAACACTATTTACAAGTACATAAATCTCCTCTACCTCTGTACCTGCCTGCCTACCTACCTACCT